ATGTATATATATGTATATGTTAATCAATATATACATTTAATATTTATTATTTTATGTATACATATATGTTTATACATATATTATATTACATATTTTTTTATTTTAAAATTTATTTTTTATTTTTCTTTCTATCTTTTATAATTTTTTTTAATTAAAATTTTTTTGACGTCGCCAAATCGTAAATGAGGTTTTTGTCAAAAATTTATGAGTTTAATATTTTTTGTCAAAATCAACGAGTCCATTTTTAATTTAGAAATTTGAAAAATTCGGTATTAATATGTTAGCTAACTCAAAATTCGGTAGTTTTTTTGGAATTTTCCCTATATTTTTTGTATCTTAAAAAATTTTTTCTAGTCTAATTCATAATATATTTACATATGTTATTAGAGTGTCCACATGTATGTTAGATTATTATTTATCTTATTCGATCAGGTACAATCTTCTATGATTGTGTATGTGCATATATATATATGAGTTAGAAACCCTATTTTTTTTTATCAATAAATCATTTCAAAATTGGTTTGCATATATCTTAAAAAGATTGAACGTTACAAGTTTCACATCACATATTGTATGATATTACCCCAAAACAATTACGTGGACATATATAGGATAGTAGGTTTAATGACTCGGTGAAGCTAAATATTTGTAAATATATATTATAGTTATATTTGTCATTTATATCTATATTATATACATAAACACATACATCTTTATATATAAAACCCCAAGAGTCATGTACCCGTATTCCATTAATTTTAATTTATTAGTTTATAAATATATTTTAAAAATTTTATATTTTTTTGCAAACATAATAAATACATACATTCATTTACAGAAGAAATGTTTACTATATAATAACTAGATTTCATGTTCTTACACATACAATCTTGATCTCCTGTTCAAATTTATATCTTCAATTCGATTTTTCAAAATCCAAAGAGAAGAAAACAACATAAAACAAGAATCAAATCTAAAACTTATAGGCCCAATAAAATGCTGCCACGGCCCAATATATGTCTTTTAAGAGAACCCAATGTACGTTTATGGTTTTGTTTTTTTAAAATAAGAAATGTGTGTGTATAAATTATGAGATGGGAATTTAACAAACTTCAGGCATATATATATATATATGAATTATAAATGAATAAAATTATTTAGTACGCACCTTGTTCTTAAGATGATTGATTTCCTGTCTCCGTTGGTTGCGTGTTTGGGCCTCTGAGATTAAAAAGAAAGTAGGCCAAGTGACGATCTATGATCATATCCACAGAGAGAGAGAGAGAGAGAGAAAGAGAGAGAGAGAGATGAGTGCGGGATTTTAAAAAAAAATTAAATATGAAATCACAGAATCTAACTATCTGAACTGCGGAGACTTGAGATTGAGAGTACAAGGGTTGCAGAAGTACACAAGGGCTAAATTACGAAAAGACCCTCGAGTTTTCTCCCCAATGAATTAGTATATATATTTTTCTCGGCATTTAACTATAAATCAAATAAAGAAGGCGTGTTTGGAAAAGGAACAAGTGGATCCCATATAGGGAAGGGGTGGAGCTTTATACCCAACCAAACAAGCCTCTTCCCATTATTATCCCCTGCACCATGCACGTGCCTCTCACGCTCCACCACTTCCTTATATGTGCGAGATATAAATGGATTGTGATAGAATTTTTTTTTGAATAACCAAGTATTTTGTTATTCAATTATTGTTTCAGGTAAATTATTTTAATACCCGAAAAAAAAGAGAAAATATATATATATATATATATATATAAATATATATGTGTACTGTATATAACGTCTCGTCCACTTCTTCACATGGTCCCAACTATACAGGCTGGAATATTTAATTTCCCATTGTACCTTAGAGCTTATTTTTAATATCGAAACCGTGTCTAAATTTTTATTTTTGTAAGAAAAAAAAATTCATCTAAAAAATACCATTATTCATAAAACATGTAGTCTACGCATGCCGTAAAATTATTTAGGTTAGACTAACATTAAAATTTTAAAGATATAAACTATAAATCAAATCATAATAATAATAATAATAATAATAATAATAATTGGTTTATCAGTTGGGTGAGCGGCGGCATATGGGCTTCCGGCTCTGGTGGCTGGTTTCCGACCACCGTCCGATCTCGAGCAAGAAAAAGATGGGCAGAATCGGAACGCACCTTGTTCTCGCGTTGCCTTACGATTGGTAGACTTCCTGTCTCCGTTGGTTCTCGTCTACCTGGATCCGACAGTCAAGGCATGAGAGAGAGAGAGAGAGATAGAGAGAGAGATAGAGAGGAAGGCATGAGAGCTTCACCTGAGATCGTCGAATCCGAGATGAATATCGAAACTCAGATTAAGAAGAAAGTACGCCAACGCCAAGTGAGAGAGAGACAGAGAGAGGCAGACACGAAAGCGGTTTTCCAGAAACCCTAATTTAGTTTTTAATCGATAAAATATTTCACAATATGGGCTTAATCGTTACAAGTTTTGTAATGGGCCGAACCCTTCTTTTTTAATGGGCCGGTTGTTAAAAAAAAGCACACGGGAAGAAAAACAATTGTATAATCAAAATTCTATACAATATACATAAATAGTACTAAAGATACATAATAATAATAATAATAATAATTTGAACACTATACTACTTCATTAAATATATATGAGGATATCGCCATAAAAACCATGTAATCTTCATAGGTTTTCGTAGGTCAACGAAAAAACCATATACTTTTTTGCTTACCAATTAAACCCTATACTTGGTGTGATTAACCAATAAAACCCCAAACTTGTTAATAATTCACCGAAAACCTTCCGCGTCTGCCAACTCAAATAAAAATGATAATGTGGCAATAACTTGGTTTCCAAGTTATGTACACATCATCAAAATTATGACACATCACCATTACAGACAAAAATAAATTACATAATTATTTAAATTAATTTATATATATATAAATTCACACATATATATATATATATTATAAATTACATTAAATATATATATATATATACATATTATTTGTTAATATATATTGTATATAAATTATTTTTTAATATATAGTGTATATATTAGTTATAATTACTTTTATTTTAATATGCATATTAGTTATATATATATATATGTTATATGTATAACTAATATATATACATATACATATTATTTTTAATAAATATATTATATGTGTATATATGTTAGTTATAATTATTTTTATTGTAATATGTATATTAGTTATATATGTATATGTTATATGTATAACTACAATATATTACACACATAACTAGAATAACTACGTCGGATCGGTCAACTCGTTTTTTTACCAAATAATGCTTTGGACGAATATGGAACCGTTTAACAAGTTTAGGATTTAACGTGTTCAATTTTGCAAGTTTGGAAATTAATAGTCACTTTTACAAGTTTAGGAATTAATATTACTCCAAAATATAAGTTCAGGAATTTTTAGGGTTTTTTCCCTTCTATTTTTGGTCGGTCAAAAAAGTTGATAATCAATCCACTAGATAATTATGATAATTTGATGTGGTGATGAATGGATCATATGGTATAAATTCATGTTGCTCGTTAACCAGCATTCCATTTTAATAATGTCGTTCGAACACCCGTAACATTTTTCTAACGACAAATTCCAACGGATATCCGTTATATAATATTTACGGAAAACCGTTGAGAATTTATTGGAAAAATACAACGGATATAATCGTTGTAAATCCGTTGGAAAATTCCAACGGATACACTCGTTGTAATTCTGTCGAAAATTGATACGGGCTTTCAACGGAATCAAAATTTCAACGACGTTTTTTCAACAGATTTTCGGTCTTTTCTAACGGATTTAACGGTTGGAATTTTAGATTTTTTTTTTTGTAGTTGAAGAAAAAAAACGTTTGCGAAAAAACATCAGGAAATGAAGAAGTTTTCACCAACCACGGATAATCATTTTTGGCATTTCTATGGTTTCCCCAATACAAAATAATATTGGTAAATAAATAATATTGCAATAACTTGTACAGTCAGATCTCAGATGATAAAAAAGATTTGAGATAGGTCTGTTATATTATTTTTTATACGAATGATTCAAAATGAATAGCAAATTGACTTTTGATCATCGAATAATAGTTATGCATATATTCTAAATTTATAAAATTAAACTATGAATTTTCAAAATTATATTAGAAGATAACTAAGTATTGTTCTTCTCAAGACTTTTTTTTTTTTATCTCAAATGGTTGATAATGTCACAACTTGTAAAAGAAGACAATTAGTTTTTTTTCCTCTTTCGGAGAAAAATATAAATAAAATATAAATGGATTGAAAATAATGAATTGAATTAGTTTGTGTTGATTGGATTTGTTAAAAAAATAACTTAATTTAGAGAATAAAGTAATTAAAAATGGCAAGTGGGAACATTTTGGACAGGGTCATGCTTGACAACTTCTTAGAATAAATTATATAAATATACATATAAAAACATATATATTGGTTGTAATTTGTCACTATCCTCACTAGCTAAGAACACATCCACTCGGACCGCCCATCTCTACTAATTTATTCAATTCCATCAAATGTCATAAAGACATGGTGACCACATTCGTATACGTATACGTATACGTATACATATACATATACATATATGTGTGTGTACATGTGCTGTCTTTCACTCTTCGACCCTTCAAAATTTTCCGCTTACATTATATATTTGTATAGAACAGTTATTTAAAAAGGAAAATCAGTGAGACATGACATGACCCTTGTCTTTTACCATATTTGTTCGTACAGACATCATATATAATCCAGCCGTTGTGAACAGAGTTCATGTGACGGTGAAAAAACAAGATCAGATTCACTTTAGATTTTGGAATTTAATTATTTGTTGTAATTTGACTCTTCCACTTCTCTCTCTCTCTGTATATATATATGTATACATATATATATACGCGTACACATGGACGAGGGCCCTATATAAACACACACATATCACACACAAACGCATATACACTCTCCTCCTTCATCTTCTTCTACATCGTCAACGCAAAGTAGAAAAATGGGAAGAGCCCTCTTTCTCTATATGGCATGTGCCTGCGTCTTGGCGGGAATGGCGTCGGCACGTGACTGGAACATACTGAACCAGTTGAGGCTGACGAGCACCCAAAACGACGGCGTATCGGCGTCGAACCTGAAGGGATACTGCGAGGGGTGGAGGGCGAACGTGGAGGTCCACAACGTCAGGGACTTCAAGGTGGTGCCGCAGGAGTGCGTGGCGCACGTGAGGAAGTACATGACGTCGTCTCAGTACGAGGATGACGTGGAGAGGGCGGTGAATGAGGTCATCCTCTACGTCGGTAGCTCGTGCTGCGGCAAGAAACAGTGCGATGGGATGGACGCTTGGATCTTTGACATTGACGACACTCTTCTCTCCACCATTCCTTACCACAAGAAGAACGGCTTCTTCGGGTAAATCCTCCTCTCCTATATCTCCATTTTAGTTACATATATGACACATATATTTGATATATATACATACATATATGGATGGGATGGATTGACAGAGGGGAGGTGTTGAACACGACAAAGCTGGAGGAGTGGATGAGGAAGAGCAAAGCACCAGCAGTGCCACACATGAAGAGGTTGTACCATGAGATAAGGGAGAAAGGCTTCAAGATCTTCTTGGTATCTTCCAGGAGAGAGAGCCTGAGATCTGCCACTGTCGACAATCTCATCCAAGAAGGCTACCATGGCTGGTCCAACCTCCTCCTCAGGTCCATTTCCTATGAACTCCCACCCTTTTTATCATACCCTTTACTGCTCGGATATCGAATTCAAGATTAGTAAACAGTGTAATTTTGGATATAAGGATGAATATGGAAGTAACTGAAATGTGAAACAGGGGAGTGGAAGATGAGAAGAAGCAAGTGGGGCAGTACAAAGCAGGGGTGAGGAAATGGCTGGAGAGCCAAGGCTACAGAGTATGGGGAGTGATGGGTGATCAATGGAACAGCTTTTCAGGTTGTCCTTCTCCCAAGAGGACTTTCAAGCTCCCCAACTCCATCTACTATGTCGCCTGAATCCACACACCCAAAGAAAACATAACAAGAACTGTTTGATTCTTGTTGTTGCAAGTTAAGTACTGTTTCGGACCTTATTTTTTTATGTGTGGGGTTTTGGGCCTTTTATAAATAAGGAAAGAAATTCTGCTTTTGCTCTCTCTCCCCAGTTACCTTTCTTGAATCTAAACCGGTTTCAAATTGAACCGGAATCATATGAACTCCACCAGAGAATCTTGTCTGAATTGGTAGATGGGGTGGATTTGAAGTTAATTGAGTATAACTGTATAACAGTTTGAGTTTGTTTATGCATTTTATATTTTCTGAGGAGAAAGACTGTTGTAAGAAATTGGAAACAAAGACTGCAGACCCCTTTGAGAAAACCACAAGAACATTACATATAACATTACTGCAAAGCAATATGCGTAGTGATACAAAATTATTCAGTATCAAACAAAAAAAAAGCGGGTTTTAGACTGAGAAATCGAAGAACACTCACAAACAAAGTGGCACAAAAATCTCATGGATGCACTAATAGATACCGTTTAAGTTCACTAGTGTCCTCCTCTGTTCAAAGCTCTCTCCAATCTTGCCTCAAATGGTGTTGAACGCCAATTCACTCTCTTATCCTGCATTTCCACATAGCATATTCCAATAAGAAGCTAGAGGATTCGGTTGATTGATAAGAACAACACCCTTAAAACTCAATTCTTGAAGGAAAAAACGCCAAAAAATGCGATAAACTTGATTCTGTGCTATATTGTCCAAGTATTGTACACTCATACCTCTCTGTACTTGCTGGTCGTGTTCGGTATTCCCTTGAATGAAGAAGCAGACCCACTATCCTTTACGGCATCAGAGTGGTTCCAGTAACCTCCGACTGAACCAATAATAGGCGTATCATCATGAGGGCTTCTGCTTGGAGATTTCCTTGGTGAAGAAGTGGCTGAGAACTGTTTGATCTCCTCCACTGTCAAGGCACCCAGTATAGGCCTGTCATCGTGGTTTTTAATCGGTGATCTTGAATTGAAGGAGGTGTTTTTCTCAGGCGTTGTGGCTGCAAACCCCATCGAAACACTGTTACAGGCACTGATCGTCGTCTCTGAAGCAGATAACCATGTTGAAAGGCTTGTGTCAACAGCAAATTCTTGGTTCTTTGTTTTCTTGGGTTCATCTTTGGGTTTTGGCTTGAAGCTGAATGATGATTGGTCAAACCCAGGTTCTATGCTGAAAGAATCCCGTTTGTCTTCTATATCTGAGACGAGGTTAAGATTCTCCTTTTGATTTTGTATCGGTGTTGCTCTACGTTTGGATTTCACAGCTTTCCACTGAGAGAGATTTTCAACTGGGTTCAACACTGGGTGGACATAGCCACTTCTGTCTCTAGCGCTTGCATTGGACCCTCTCGGCTTCGCTTCTATCTCCCCTATGTCCAAGCCATTATCTGCAATCTCCTCCGTGTAAACGTCTTTGGCCTGGTTCAGGAGCTTGGTCTCGTAATAGTCATCACTATCGCTATAATAATCTTCATCGAGCAACCCATCCTCATCTTCATCATCATCTAGATCACTTCCCTCGCTGTCTATTCCATCCTCCTCTTCATCATCACTCTCTCTGCAATTCTGGTATCTGTGATTTGAAGGGAAGGAACCTGATGTCTTTGATGAAATGGAGCTGTTCTCGGATGAAGATTGAGTCTGGCATGACTTCACCGATTTATCTTGGGGCTTGTCCTCTTCTTTCTCCTCTTTTGGAAGTTCAACAGATTCCTCCGGTAGAATATGTTCATAGGTTTTGACAATGGAGTCAAAAGTAACTCTCTTCCGACCAGGGCTCTGATTGCATTTCTCTTCAACTTTTTCACTACATTGAATTAAACGAGAAATCAGTATATCAGTCAGCTAATTAAAGCTTGAAACTTGATTCCGGGGAAAAGTGCCCACCTGACATCAGTGATCGGAATGACGTTAGGGACTTCCTCCACAGTAGGAACCGTCGCATTCAGATAGTCACCCTTCGTAGGCCCCTCAGAGATTCTCTGTACAGAGCAAGATTATCTCAGTTGAAGCAGAATCAAAGCAAGAAAGCTAAAACTGGTTGGAAACTGAGATCTACGCAGAAGCTAACCCAACTTAAACAACTCAACATCACAAACTGAAAAGCTTATACTTCCTCAAGTAATCGCAAAGATTTCAAATCAAAAGCGTACTCCAACAGAAACTACCACATAAGAGTTGATAAAGAAAAACCCAACGACAACGAAGAGTGAAACCACAAGCTTCCTGTTTTCTTCTTTTTTTCTCTCATCGGGAAGCAGTTAGAAAACTTACGTTTCCTCGAGGCTGGACATGTTCCCTGCGTCTCTGACGCCGGCGATTCTTCGAAGCACCGAAGCAACCAAGGAAGCAACCCATCCTCTGAATATTCAAGCACCACCCAGAGAAAATCAGAGAAGTCTCTTCGGTGGGTTTTCAGATTCTCGATCAAACATCAAAGGGTCGTCATGGATTTAGAGAGAGAGAGAGGAGCGGGGTGTGGGGCACATCTCCGTATCTGGTTGGACTGGAAATAGAGGGAAAAAGCTTTACCGGTGGTGGAATGTGGATTTGGGATTTAGGGCTTTTTAATATTTTGATTTGGGGGGAAAAGCAAGTGACCGTTACGGGTCTGATCAGCCAATCAGGTCGTATTGGACCGTTGCTCCATTTTTTTGTGATCGGACCCTCTGGCCCACAAAACAGGCTATTCATACATTAATCAATAATTACCCGACCCGACCCGACCCGACCCAAATTGGAGGAACCACCCGATATAGATTTTTTTTTTGGGTTGAAACAGCCCGTTTGAATTTGTCTCGACTCACAACTTTTTTGTCACCGGCGGCCGAGTGACGTTTTTCTTCTGAAAGAAAAGAAACCGTTTCTGCGACGACGATCGGCGACTGGGACTCCGACAGTCGAAGTTGCCGCCGGAAAGGTGACGGATGGAGAATACGGACAGTCAGATTAGTAGTCCCCAGATCCTGGGAATCTGGGATTTCCATCCGTTGGATCCCACCACAATCGTCATGGTGTCGCCTCCCTCTTCGCCTGAGCCGGTATTTCCGGCCGAAGATGACGATTCTTTTCCGGAATCTGTGGCCATGGAAACGGGGAACGAGCCTTGTTCCGCGGAATTGGACGGAATCTCTCTGCTGGAGAGAGCCACTGGGTCGAAATCGCCGCCCTCGGCCATCGGAAAAGCAAGGGTTTCTGACAAGGAAAGGGCCGGACCGCTCGGGTGTCCGCAAAAGGGAGAAGCTTCGTCGGAAAACGTCAGGCTTACCTCGGGGAAGCAACCCGCAGTATCAGAATCGCCGTCGTCGTCGGCGAGAGGAGAGGCTAGGGTTCCGGGAAATCTACCAACTTCCACCGGAAACGTTGGCGTCTCGGCGGTGAAGGAACCTAACACGGCGGAAGCCGACAGACCGAGGCGGATCTTGCCGCCGACGATAGCTGCGTCGGAGGAATGGGGCGGTGGGAAATGGAAAGAGGACTGGAGGACGAAGAGGAGGAAGATCGATGAGAAAGCTGATTCAACGTTTCTCAAAGAAGTCATTGAAGCTCTTGCCCGAAACTCTGGTGAGGCCGAGGAGGACGAAGAAAACATGGAAAGCTTTAGCTACGTGGAGATTTTGCAATCAATGGGCATAAAGTTTCCACAGTAAGATGATAAGCCATTCTATCGGGTGTATGTGAGCAGGATCACGTGAAGGCCGGCTGCTGAGAAGAAGCAGGAAGCAATTATTAATCAAATACCTTTTGCATGTATGTTGGGATGTTGGGCTTTTGTGCCAGGTCAGCTAAACTTGTCGCTGAACCTTGGTTGTAATTATCAGAACTGCTTTTGGGAAGGGTATGCTTTGTTCTTGAATCTTTTGTAAGATGAGAAAGAGGGAGAGTAACCTCTTGACAGGATTGTATTTCCTGTTTTTTCTGAAATACATTTTGGTATTTAAAAGTATTCGATTCTATCATAAGATCATGATTATTTGATGAACAAGGTGAAAATTAAACAAAGTCAATCTCATGGGTTCTGTTTAACAAATGGGAAGAACAATCTAAAATCTAATGAAATGTGTGCTGTCTACTGCTTTTGATCAGCTGACCAAAGGCTGCAACTTGTAAGCAGCAATGGACTCCAGAAGCCATGTATGACCGATGAGCTGAGACCTTGTTCTACTAGACAATGCCTCTGCTTCATAGGCTCTTTGCCAGATGATGGAGACTTCGTCCCCGAGAACCCACCCGGGTGGAGGATCGATGTTGTATACTACAAACGTTGTTGGCATAGAAGATTGTTGGTCATTGCCACAGCTTTCTGTGAATAGTTCATCCTCAGTCTTCAGGATTGTTCCTCCGGCAACTCTGACCAGATTCTGAAGGTCTTCCTTGTATCCTCTTACAAATTCTCCGTAGAAATAGAATTTCAAGCAGTTGAAAAGTTTTGGTGCCTGTAGGAGAACGAATACCGTTCATACATCTACACAAACGCAAAGTTCTGCAATTGCTTGGTATATCTCTTACGATGCAAAGATGGCAAATGCAGAGAATCCACCCAAGATTTGATCTCTTTGTCAATTGTGAATATACATCGCAGTATGATTGTTGTGAGAAAATATCACTCCATGTGTATTGGTATAGAGATGAGAGTTGGGCTACTTACATCAGCAGCAGCTCTGAGTCTGGCTGTTCTCGGGCCATCTCGGCATCCCTGGGTGTCAATTGCAATCTCGTAAGATTCCTCGTCAACTGGATGAAATGCTTCAAGGCTTGCTTTCATCCCTGTGACAAGAACTCGGGTTTATCCAGGTACAAATGTCACTCTTAACATATAAACAAAGAGTGTGGATCAAACTTACAATCTGCGTTGAGAATCCATTTCCCATGAAGAATGCCCATAAGAACCTTCAAAGTTCTTGTGCATGCACCATTCTCATCTGTAGAAGCGATCACATGCGTAACACTCGTGTTCCAGAACCTGGATATGGTTGCTCCAAGTTTGGAGGCTAATTTTTCCAGAAGGTGCTGTTGAACATCATGTCAAATACAATGATAAGATCACTTGTTGGCTCTACAAAACCTTATAAACCAAAAGGGTGAATATGATGAAGAGCTTTGTACCAACCTTTTCTTCGTGAGAAAGGGCAGATCCACATAGAACCAATTTTTTTGTCTCCATGGGCCGGTTTACTGCTAAACCAAGCTCTACAGGAGTTCTGAGTCACAGAAAAATGAAAATGTGACGAACTTTGTCACCTGGGTAGAATCAATAACGAGTAGAGCAAGAATATATACGTTTCTAAAGGAGGCTGGGCACTGGAAATACGAGCTTTAGACTTAGATTTCTCGTTTGGGAATTTGACAGAAGAATGAGCAGGACAAAGCAGAAGAAAGTCGTCCTGTTATGACAAATAAAACATGATCACTGTCACATGTGAAACAGATCAAATTTCGATGATGAATGGCTTTACAATGTCATCAATTGACACTTACGTTATCCCAACGACATTTGGGTATCTGTCGTGCGCATGGAACGTGATAGCTCCTGCGACAAGATGTTACAAAGCAGCCCAAGGCAGCCCCTTTCAGACCGCATTGAGTGCATTTGATCTTCATGCCCCTATCCAGTTCGGCTTTCAGATTCTTCACTGAATCTTCTTCATAGTATGCTTGAGGTGCCCTGAACATTCAAGAAAGTCGAGTATTTTCACCATTGAGAAGGATTTGAAAGTTGTTCAAATGTAGTATTAGTCTATAAATAATTAATCAAGTTGATTTATGATCCTGACATGGACCTAAATTCTCATATGAAACCAACGTGCTAACTCTATATCTAGAGAGGTGGGTTTTAAAAAAAGCTCAATATCTAGAAAGGATGGCAATGTAACTTACCACTCGATACATGCACTGTGAACATGGATGACATTGGAACGAAAGATGTCATCTCCTGTCACTTGTCTTCCTTTGCAGTAATGGAGCATTTCCCCAGTGGCCTATACAGAAAACCAATCCAATGTGTTGGATTATATCCCAGGAGATAAGCTTTTTGAAGCACCAGACAAAAAAAGGCAGAAAATGTCACCTCTGATGTCCTAGAGGACTGACAGAACCCACAAATGGTCATGTCTGAAGCTGTTAAGTTTTCGGTGAACTGATCAGGTCTGTCCTTGCAATCATGATCTGCAGCTGTGTACATCAGCTTCTTCTGCCTCTTGGAGTCCTTGGAATAGATTTCCATTGCTCCTGATGCATGAGTATCAAGCATCCTTTTGGCAGTTTGTCCTGCATAAGTTCCTGGGGTCTGGAGAAAAAGGAACAGAACACATCTCCAAGTGATAAGCTTTAGAGTCAGAACAAGAACCCAGTTGACAGAACAATTGATTTGGTTTGATGTATAGTTTTGTTTGGAATGACCAGTGTGCAAAGATGGTCAAGGACATTTTCATGGCTAAGCAAAAAACATAAACCTGAACGGTTGCCACTTTCAAGCATAAACCAGAATAATCTCTTCAGACAAAGCAGCAAGAAGACAAGCTCTTACATGATCACTGGTGTCATTATCAGAACCCTTCGCATCATCAAGTGATGAAGGACTCTCGAACAACTGCTCAGCCTGATGCATCTCAGCTGCTACATTCTTGTACTTAGGCCTCCTCGGGTTGCTTTCTTGTGAACTAGGGTCCAGAGAATCATCATGACTATGGGAATCGCTGCACTTGATCACTGCCGTATTAACAGCCTTAAACTCTTCGGATCTGCTGCCTTTCTGGGTTCTGCAAAAATTGGGTGCGCCATTTTTGCCCATATATTCATTTGCAGACGGTAACTGGGAGAGATGGGCGCTGACAGCAGTGTTCAAGCTTTTGTATATGCTTATAATGTTTCCCATGAAACGCATATCCCTTAAATCTACATTTAGAAATCACAAATGTTATTGTGTAGTTAAAAAATACACAATAATTTTCTTAACGTATAAGCATCCAATGAAGCTTAGATTTATGCATACAAGGGATGTCAATTTAACCCGAAGCCTAGTCCAATCCATCCCGAAAAATAGCGGACTCGGGCTACATTTTTTCAGCTTGAAAAAACAGTTTTTTGGTCATGCTCAAATCGGACTTTAGATTCATCCGAAAGACCGATAATTTTTTTTTAAAAAAATCTTAATAAAAAAAATAATTTTATAAACTATTTTGAGTATGCCAGTCCGACACACAATCCGAAACCAAAATCTATAGGGCCAAACTTTGGGTTTGGTCATAGAGGTCCGAAAAAATTCAGACTAAACCGAGTCCAAAATGCTTGGGCCGAGTGCGGACTCAGGTTGGATCGACCCCAATTGACACCCCTACGTACATCCCCAATCAGGCACTTCGTTCTCGTAAAGGACAAATTGTGCAATACATTATACGGCACATGGAGAATACACATGTATAACAGCTTTTATTGCATAACATGAACACAAACACAGATCTGCGGATAACTTTTAACGGTCTTACCCCGGATTTCATATTTAGACCTGCAGACGGGACAATCTGGGTCGTCTTGCGATCTTGGCACGCATGAACTGCCAAATAACATCCAGAAAAACATGATTTAAAAATAGATTACTACCCAAATTATGAGCTTTCTCAAGAAATTAAGTCAGAATTGGGAATTGAATTATACTACCCCAAATCATGAACTTTACTAAAAAAAATTATTCAGAGAATATTTGCATGAATTGATGAAGAAGCAATGAAGGAAGTAGTGGTGGATCTCTCACTCGCAGAAGATGTGGTCACAAGGAAGCATCAGCGGACGATTAAGCAATTCCAAGCTGTTAAACATAAACATGACGATTAGATTTCTGACATCATTAGGACAGTAATTCAGGTTCAGACCGGTAATTTGCGGATTTTCTTCGTATTCAAACTCATGAATAGATCAAATAAATGATAAATTACGTACTAATATGAATAATACTGAAAAGTTTGAAGAGATTTGACGGTTCCAAACAACAATGTTCCAAAATATATGAGAAAAAAATTGAGAGATAAACAGAAAATGCAGATTAGTTTCATAAATATTTTAAAAAATAACAGCAACCAAGAATCCGAAGGTGAATGAGAAGTCGCGGGAAATGGGAATATCAAAGGCTAACCATAAAGGGCATTTGAGCTCGAGGCCAATCTTCTGGAGATGAAGAACCCAAGGATTCACCACCCTGTTCGTATAATCCGCCATCGATGTACGGAACCAGATCTCCGACGAAGCTCTCGGAGTAGCGAAGGAGACGAAGATTAAAAAAAACAAAGCCTTTTCTTTTTTCAGTGCGAGGGAAAATATTTTCGAAGTATTTAAAGGAGGGAATGCGGTGGACACGTGTACGGTTGAGATCAAATGGCGCGAAAAAATGCGGGGGAAATGTAGATATGATAAGCGGGACGAAATGTAATTTGAAGCCCGCCCCGTTGGTTACAAAAATTTGAAAAGGGCCCACCAGAGCTAAATATAATGGCCCATTTTGATGAAATGGCCCATTAATGTTATAATAGAGCCCATTATATTGTCAGTAAAATTGGGCTTAAAATAAATTATAGGACTGTGAAGCCCATAATGTAAACCCTCTGCATCTCCCCGAGGCTTTGGGTGCCGGTGGGCATATTTGGAAAACAAAGAATCTTCCAAAATGTTTCAACTTCTCCCAACTGTTGGTCGTAACACAAAAAAAAGGAGAAAAATAAAAAGTGAACATAATTATAATTTGGTTGAAATTAGATTGATTTTGGCATTATTCATTTAATTGGATGAAATTAAATTGAGATGGGAAACTGATATCAAAACCACCAAAGCAATAAATTTCATACCTTGATATCAATGGAGGGTTTAGTTTTCTTATCTTGTGAAATATATATGATCGTCAAATCTATTTTTAAGCAACTTGAATTTTTTTCGAGACCATAATTCTCCTACATTAGTCTCTTAATTATATGTATGGAATTCAAACCATATAGAAATTTCCATTATAAGCCATTTCTTATTTGTGCCAAAATAATGATAAATCAGTATAAAAGTTGTGTCGAATTTATTGCTATTTATATTGAATTTGGAAAAGACTTCTGCAAGATGTCTTGTAATAAATTAGAAACGATCAGCCCAAAGAAAGAAGTTATTGATACTCTTAATCCTTAGAGGCTAAAATCTAAACCAAGCCCTTAAAAGGCGTTTGCGTTACTTGTCTTGATGGCAACCCAAAGTCTGAAGATATGGTAAAGAAGGAAGGGTATTTTCGTACTTTCATATTTATGGCAATGCATGTAATTTCTTAGAAAGCCGAGGGTAATCAACGTACACCGCCTCTATAAATTGTCGTAACCCTACGCCTTATTCTGATCTAACTATGTTTTCTCTCTCTCTTCTTTTCCCCCTCCCAATTTTCTGTCGTCTCTTCCAAAAACAAAAAGTTCTCGGGGGTCCTTTCACTCGAGTTTTCGCAAAATTACTGTTTGTCACTGCAGTAATTAAATCCAATTTTTAAGTAGGTGCTGACGTGGCATGCACCCAATCGACCGGCACAATGAGCACCAAAACTATGCGTCTCCCCCCACGTCGCGTTCTGACGCCGGATAAGGGCAAGGAACGCGACGGCACCGTCCCCCTCGCCGGAAAGCCGCCGGAAGCCGCCATGATGAAGCCGCCGCCGATTATTCCTCCGGTTCAATCCCCCAGGAAACTACCAGCGACGGCCACGGCCGAGCCGGCCGGTTCGAACCAGCTCCTTGCCGGTTACTTGGCCCATGAGTTTCTCTCAAAGGGGACAATCTTAGGGGAGCAATGGAACCCGATTCGGTCCCAAACCGGAGACGTACCGGTTCAACCGGGCGAGCCGAGAAAGACGAAGCCGAGCCACAATACGGAACCGGTTGAGCCGGTCGAGCGGAAGCGGAGGAGATACGTGGAAGTGGCCAATCTCCTCCGGGTAGATGGGACCCGCCTGCCCGGAATCGTCAACCCTACCCAGCTTGCCCGATACCTCAAACTGTGATGCCAATTCCGATGTCCACGTGGACCCAGGTCATTGGTCTGTCCCTTGGAAAAATTACAGCCCTAAGAGCGAAACCTTCCTTCTCTCTTTGGGTTTGTCCCCTCTTTTTTTTTTTCTCTTAATTTTTATCATCTCTGTAAAGTTGATTCTCTCTCTTCGTCTTCTTCGAAATTAGACAGAAATGTTTCCTTTTGGGTAGGTTTCGTATTTTGTACATTAGGTTGCGATATCGATTAGGGATTGGATCGAAATTTCAATTCAGAAACTGCGTTGATTCCACGGTTTTTCCCCCCGAATTTTCGTGGATCCAAATTTGTGCTCTTCGATCAACATGTTCGCACATAATACGATCACGGAATCTAAAATTCGAATGTTGGTTGGAATTTGGAAGGAGTTTTTATGATATTTCCTTCAATCCGAGAAACACATGAAGGCTGGATTTTATTTCTTTGCTTTGTTGGAGACGGAACTTATTTCGATTGAGATGAAAAGAATGGTGAATTCGTATCGGTTCGCAAGAAGGATTCGTATTCTGTTTCGGGTTTGTGAAAGTTGTAGCAAAATCTTGCTTGTTTGAAGATATTCATGGCCCGATCTTTGATCTTTCGATCAAGTTTAAATGCTTGTTGCCCTTTCGATTCGCTGGATTCGATGCAGAGATTAATGGCGGTTTTCTAACTTGCGGCTCTGGATTGAATTGCATGTGGAGTTGTGGAATTGTCTTCTCTCCATATTTTCCATGACGCAATTTTCATAAAGCTTTCATCCATATAGAACTGGTAATCGTCTTCACCATACATCTGCTTATGTACATATATCTCCATGGCTTGCTGCTGCTTTTATTTCATTTTTTCACATTGGCTATTCTGCTGGATATGCAGTAAGAGGTAGACTGAATGGTGACCATTGGATTATCGCCGAGAGCTGTAGGCAGAACGCTTGAATCACACACTTACAGGCTTTCTGCTTCCCAGCTCTCGCCATATCCGTCCACTGTCCCCTCCTTCTCTGTGTTTCCCATCCGGCAACTTCCCATCTGAGATGCCGAGATGGAACGGCACCAGTTCTTGCTCGTCGAGACGGGTCCACCCGCTACGCTTACCGTTCGTAAGAACTTCTCTCGATCTTCCTCGTGGATCCCTTTGCATCTTAGTCTCTACCCCTCTGAACTGTATGTGCCCACCTCCTCAGCTCCTGCCGCAACCAAGGTCCTCTGTGCCCATTTTACGGCAAGAGCTAGATTCTCCTGATCGGTCTTGATCAGTTTGTAGTTGATAATGTCTTTCAGCTTCACCTCTCCAGAGCTCTCATCTCTGACCAGTGCAAAGATATGAGATGTTCTTGCATACTTGGCCATTCTCTCCTTCATGTCTGAACCTTAAACCCATGGCAGTAGAGCTGCAAACATGCCTGGCGGCTGGCGCTAAAGCAGGTGTCTGAAGCATGGCCTTTGGTGCTGCAGATTCATCTGGAACCACTATGTGCATTGAAGTGATTATCTCTCCCTCGTGTGCTCTTCCTCTGAATTTCGGTTTTCTTCTGGGAAGTAGCCCCATGCCATTAGAATCGGGTGAAGATGGAGGTTTCGACCGATATTTGGATTCTTCAACCAGCTCAAAAGCAACATATAAGGTGTATTAAGCGACCCGCAAGCCAAGACCGTGACTTTGGCGTTGATTTGAAGCCTCCTTTCGGTTTCTTTTGATAAAAAAAAAAAAAAGGTTCTCACTTCCAAGCATCTCTTTCATCGGCCTCTTTCCCATCTTTGCTCGACACTGTTGCCCTCCAAGATCAACTTCTCAGCCATGCGCTGTGTTAGTATCACGGCATTGTAGTTGACTGCGTCAATCAGCCATGTTCTGTCTGTTGAGTTCTTGTCTCCAGTTGTGCATCCAAAGGCACAAGATCCACATTCATGTTTCCATGATGAATAGTTCCTTGCCACCGTTTCAACATCCAAGCCAAGCTTCTTGCCCCCTTTTCGCAGTATCTGATTCTGAAACTCTTCTCCGGTCAGCCTCTCAGTCACACCGATCCTCTTGCAGACTTTATCCATGGCCATCTCGTACTCCTCGCTGGAGAATATTGCAATCTTTCTGTCCACAGACCACTCTTTGATGATTGGTTCATGAGTTTTAATGGACGCTGACCAGTTTATTGCCGAACCGTCACCCACGGTTGATCCGGCCAAGAGCTGGAACCTCCTGTCCTGTGTCATCATGAACCCGTTCGACTCGATCAGCTCGAACATGGAGGGGCCCTCGAGAGATGAGTAGTCGCGAGGCACAGAGTAATTACCTTTCTCGAGAACCACCACCCTCAGACCTGACCTCGCGAGATTCGTGGCTGCAACCGCTCCACCACAGCCCATACCCATGACCACGGCATCACACTCGATCTTGTAAGTGTTGCTTTGCCTATCCTCTGTTACTCTAAGACCTTTGCTTATCAGACGTTGCTTAAGTGTCCTGTCATTCTCCTTCTCGGTCTCTATTATCCCTTCATTCAGAAGAGGTCTATCCTCTTGTCTCTTTTCCTGACTGGTAGCCTTGTTGGTCACGTAGTACCCGATCGCATCCCATGTCGGGTTTCCTGTATTTTCATCTGTCTGTCCATGCAGATGCGTCATGTATGTATGGGATTTTGAATCAGGTGATCACAGGATATACATAACGTGAGGGAATTTGAGGCATACCCGGGTGAAGTAGTAGAACAAGAAGAAGGCTTTAATCATTATAAAAGCGAGTCTCGCGAGAGGGTTAAACCTCTGCCTGCTCCATCTCTGCAAAGATCTTTTCCGTCTTGTCGAGTGAGCTCTCGGCGAATGTGAGAAGGAAAGGCCATTTCTGGTCAAGAGAGAGAAACCCACATAGCAGCAAAGTTCCCAATCTGTATGTAAAACTACTCTCACCACTTTGACTGCAACTGGCATTGCTTTTGTCACCAGCAGCTCAGCCACCTGTTTTGATCATATTTTAACAGGAACTGCAAAAAAAGAAAAGGATTCATACCTCATCAGCTCTAACCTGAGGGCAAGAGGACTCGAAGAAACGAAGGAGGGCGTCATTGCGTAGAATCTTCAACTTCATATTAAGTTTCAAGGACTCCAAAGCAACAGGACGGAGAATGGCTCTGCAAATGGCGGACAGAGCTTCGAGCTGAGACGGTGAGAAGCCATGGCAGAAGCTTTCTTCTCCATTACTCCATTCCAGCAGAGGGTTTCCTCTCCTCTCTCCTCTTTCCATGGTGATCCCCCCCTTCCCCATGCATGGCACACTTTTTTTTTATAGTGTTGAATTTGATATTTGTTCTCTTTGGAGGGGGAAAAAAGTCTTTCTTCAGCGATGGGGTTTCTGTTTTTGGGTGGCGTTGTCTGTGTACGTGAGCATGTCCGAGAACGGCTACTCTGAGTTCAACATATGTCTTCGAGGTGCCCGCCCCTTCGGACAGCACGGGAGCTTGAGAGAGAAGCATCTGTTCCCTCGTTACATAACATAAATTTATGTATTCTATTTTTGGTTGTATATTATATATGTACGTATAAAAAAATACACCGAAAATTTTCAAATTCTTACATGCTTCGAACAATTAGATTTTTTTTATTTAATCTGTCTAATAACATTCATTATTTTTTAAACCCTAGTGTATTTCGTTAAAGCCAAAATAAATAAACCCTATCATTTAAAAACTTCGTATTTTTAAAGCCTTCCCAACCTTATAATAAAAATCTTTTTAAATTGTACTTGAAACTCTTACCGAACGAACAAAATTTATTATTTTTATATAACTTTTTGGACCGTTCCTTCTTATAAAATCAGTTCTAACCTACTCATATATATATATATATATATATATATATATATATATATATATATATAGTGTGTGTGTGTGTGGGGGTGAT